CCCCAAAACCCCAAAACCCCATTAATAGAATATCTAATTGATTTTTTTAGACTTATAAATATCAAAAGCTAATTAAACAATAAATCAAATGGTTATACATCACAATGATAATCAAATCTCTTCACTAATTATTTGCTGCATATACTAGACAGCTTCTAGTTTAATCTAATCAGTGCTTTTATTGCAAATATCTAACTTCTCAATCTAATTTCTTGCTTCATCCTCCACTTTTTACCATTAAGGATCCTCAGTAGATCTTCTAAAAGCAATATGACAAAGGCAGCAGTAAAATTTATCTTTGAATATACCTTTTATTGATCTTGAAATCTAGTTCATATTCATTCTATTTAGATAGTTTATCAAATCAACTTCAGATTTTTTCTTGAATTATTATAGAATATATTTTGCAGCTAACATTTTTGAGTTCTCAAGAGCAAAGGATACTATATGATAATTCATGTACAGTGTTTCCTTATCATAAATAAGTATATCGTAGAGTATTTTAGACGTTTTGCTATTAGATATTATTTTAAGCAACTGCTTAATTTAAGATCTCAGAATCATGATCTTCATTGTAAGTTTTAAATTGAGTTAAGTATTTTTTGCTTTAATCTAATCTAAAAGCAGAGAACATAGCTTGATTAAGTGTTTTCTGAATTTTTTGCCTTTTGCCTTTGATACATTATCCAAAATAGCTTATGAAATCTTTGACTAGTTTATTATGACTATATTTTTTTATTCTGTGATTAGACTATCAGGTATCTACTCATCTACTAAGTATTTCAGTTTTATTTCCATTGTCTCTATAATTACCATTAGCCCATCTATTAGCTTATAATTCAATTCATCATTAAAATCTAAATAGCTTAGCATTGAGCGGAAGAAAGCTGAGTCTTGCGATCTTTCCTAAAATATTTCAAACAGCTATTCAAAATAATCACCTTTCAAAATACTCTCCCTCAAATTAATATCAAATATCATCTCGAGAAATATTTTGACAACTTTAAACTTGTGGGGTTATCTATTTTTATTCAAATATGATGTCCATTATTTAAGAAACTTCAAAATAACTTGGCTCTCGGACGACTATTTGGCTAAATTCTAAACTAGAAAAACAAGTGTAAGGCTATCTTTTGGCATGTAATAAAGCTCACTAATATCCTTAAGTGGGTCTAAGAATCGTGATTTTATATCACTAGTTTCACCTAAATATATAAAAAAATGAGTAATTTTCTTACCTTATATATGAGCTTCAAACATACTAAGGGAAGTCAGGATATAATAAGCCTCAGTTTCATATTATTACTTATCAATAAAATTATCATAGTCTCCCTAGACTATTAACTATAGGCAATCTCTTATAATGTCAATTTAGTCCCCTATAATTAAGTACTTTAAATTCATTCAATCTTACATTATCTTTTAATTATGAGGGATTTAGCATACTCATAAAGACTCTTTGGTGTCTACTTAATTTAATCCGTAATGAATAGAACCTCCTTTTCCTTCATTACTTCATCGTTAGACTCCTCAGCTATTCTGTTCCTAAAATTATTAGCTTATTACTCTTTATCAATTTTATCTCTGAATTTTACATCCTCCTCTGCCGTTTGTATAAGTTAAATCGATTCTTTTACTTAGCATTGAGAGTCAATGATCGTAGCTAGTCTTTAAGTATTTTAATAATGTATAATGACATCCTTTGGGTCCTTAACCTTTTGCAGATAAACTCCAACTTGATTTAATATTCTAAGCCACAAGATCTAGATAGTTTTCCTCTCATTCAGGAAGATAGATTAATTTCTCAAGATATCATTGTTGTACTCAATACTTTTATCTAGAGCATCTTATATTTCCTGTCTGGTAAATTTTTACTAGAAAGAGTAAGGATCTAAGTTCCCATGTAAAATTGTGAAATATCTGTAGTTCAAATGACACAGAATCGCAAGCTCTTGGACAATTTTATAATTGTGATTTTAGTAAACAGAAATAAAACTCATGAGATACTTTGTTGACTGAAAACTCAAGTCTAAGGCCTTGTCAAATAGTACTCTTTTGAGATCAATGTCTTGAAAAAGAAACAGGGCCTAAAGATTAAAATTAGATTTTGAGATATAAAGTGTATTATAGAGGGTATCGAATTAATATTGCATTTCACTTTACCTCACAGAATATCTGGCAGCAGACATTGAGTTTTTACTTTTATCTTTGACTCGGTATTCTGCTTATTTTATCCAATTAAAGAGCAATCTTTATTAGTAAGTACTCTACTTCTTGTTCAGCTTTAGGTGAGTTTAATGCTTTAAGTTGCTTTATTTCCTGCTGGAATTTAGGCAGATCGCAAATGATCTCATTAACTGGTCAGTGTAGGAATACCTAGTCGTCGTATTAAGAGATGTTATAATCAATAATCATCATTTTATTATTTCACAAATTAAAATTATAAGTATTTGCATTATTAATTCTTTCGGGGTTTTGGGGTTTTGGGGTTTTGGGG